CCATCTCCTCTGGTGGGTCTGAAGCCTCTGCAGCTGCTGGAGGTTAAAGCTCGCGGACGCTTCGGCTGCGTCTGGAAGGCTCAGATGATCAATGAATATGTAGCTGTCAAGATTTTCCCCATTCAGGTGCACCTTCATTTACTCTGCCTTACTTTACACGTGCAGACAGTGTGCAGGCCACATCTGTAGACTTCCAGATACAGTTCTTGCTAAAGGGAAAGTGCTTGAGGGAGTTCAATGGTGGCATTTATGTTAATTGCATATTTTTTAAATAATTTAAATGCACAGATTTCTTTAATTTTATTTATTTTATAAATTTATCAGCAGTGCCAGCAAATGCATTAACTTTATTCATGAACTTTTTTATATTTACTTATAATTGTGGTGAATTAAATAACATTTTTTAATTCTTGCATTTATTTATTTAGTTATTTATGCATTTATTTATGCATTTGTTTATAAATTTATTCATGCATTTATTTATTTATGCATTTATTTATTTATTTATTTATTTATTTATGCATTTATTTATGAATTTATATATTGATGTGTTCGTTCATTTATGCTTTATGCATTTATTTATTTATGCATTTATTTATTAATTAATTTATCTTTTGCATTTATTTATTTGTATATTTATTTATGCAGTTATTTATGCAGCTATTTATTTATACATTTATTTATTTATGCATTTATTAATTAAATAATTTATGCATTTATTAATTAATCAATTAATTAATAAATTTTTGCATTTATTTATTTGTACATTTATATATTTATGCATTTATTAATTTATTAATTTATGCATTTATTTATTCATGCATTTATTTATGAATTTACTTATAAATTTATTAATTATTTTATTTATCCATTATTTTATTTATGCATTTATTTATGTATGTATTTATTTATACATTTATTAATTATGTAATTTATGCATACATTTATGTATTTATGCATTTATTTGTGCATTTGTTTTTATATGCATTTATTAATGTTATGCATTTATTAGCAGTGCCAGTAATTGCTTTAACATTATTTATTTACTTTCGTTTCATATTTACCTATAAATAAATTTAATTTAGTGACATTTTAAGTTATCAAATTTATTATATTTTGATATATTTAAATCGTATTTTTTAAATAGATGTGTTTATGTAATTTCTTTTGGCCAAGATGCTGCAATGGAATATTAACTTTTTAAAATGTAGTTTTATTTTAATTTATGTATTTAAAACTGCTTATTAATAAAATAATTACAGGCAAACTCAAACATAAATATCTAAATGTTAAGATGGTTAATGCTGAACAAGTGTAAGTACATTAGCTGCATTTCATTTATTTATTTGTATGTTTTTAATGCATTTTTTTATAAGCATTTATATATTTAATGCATTCAATAGCTTTACACAAAATTGTAAAATAAACCACAACTTGTATGTGTTTTAAACATTTATTTAGGAACATGCATCACGATGAGTTTTATTTTAATTGACACTGTCATTCAGCAGACACTTTTGTCCAAATCGTCTGGTTTTTGAAATTAGTAATTTGTTGAGCTTCTAGATGCTGTATAACTAACCTAAGTCAACTCATCTCTGTGTGTGTGTGTGTTACTGTGTGTTCAGGATAAGCTGTCATGGCAGAACGAGCGGGAGATGTTTTCCACTCCGGGAATGAAACATGATAACCTGCTGCGCTTCATCGCTGCTGAGAAACGCGGATCTAACCTGGAGATGGAGTTCTGGCTCATCACTGAGTTTCATGAGCGGGTGAGGACACACACTCACACACTCTCACACACATGCGCATATTTAGGCGCTGACTGAAAGGGGTAGTTCACCAAAAAAATTGAATATACATTAAACTTGCTCTCCGTCAGGCCATTAAAGGTGTAACTATGGCTGGCCGATAAAGTTATTTGATCTATTTATGAAGATTTTAGCCATGTATTTAGGTGTGTGTGTGTGTGTGTGCGTGCATTTCAGATAGCGTCTGCATGATGTAGTGTGATTTATTGACATTTCTGTGCTGTGCTGGTGTTGATGTTGTGTTTTGGGCTCTCAGGGCTCTCTGACGGACTATCTGAAGGGGAACGCAGTGAGCTGGGCCGATCTGTGTGTGATAGCGGAGAGCATGGCCTGTGGTCTGGCGTATCTGCATGAAGACGTGCCGCGCTCCAAAGGAGAAGGCCCCAAACCAGCCATCGCACACAGGTGAAGACGAACACACACACATGCATACAGACAGACAAACACACACACACAGATGAACACAAACATACACACATAAACACGAATAGACAGACAAATAAACACACACACACTTAGAGTTTCTGTCTTGTTTGTAGTCCAAATATCTAACAAATCTTCAATCCAGAAGCATTTACTACACAAGCAATAATATTGTCATTTTCTTTATAGCTTTTTGATTTATTTTAATGACATTTTTAAATATTTGGACTAGAAACGAGACCAAAAAATCAAAGTAATTGAAAACT